CCAATCTTCGTCCAATCGACCCCGAACTCGCTCCTAAACCTTCATTCACTTGCTAGGACCTGAAATATCATAAACAAACACAACCTAGCGTGAAATCGGCCTAAAACACGAGAATTACCATCTCAAACGGCTCCAGAATAGGGGTAAAAACATGTGCAATTAACGGCTTATCAGTTGTTATCTCTAGCATTGGCAATGAAACTCACTTGCTCCTCTGGGGTACTTGTCTCCTTCAACGCTTGGCAATCCACGATTTCATGATTAGTGCTTGAACACCAATCACAAGACATCACTGCTCTCTTCCCTTGCTTCTTGTCCTCAAGGATCACCTCGATCAACTTGTCAAGCTTTGCTTCAAGTGGAGCACTTGCCCCCACACTTCGCACTCCTCTTTCGGTGCTTCTCTTATCTTCTTGTCAAGCCCCAATCATATCCTTTGAGAATCATATCTTCGAGCAACTCCGTCACTTGAGGTGGGGTCATGTTCATCAACTTCCCTTGGAAAAGAGAGTCTATGAGAATCTTATCATCTTGAATGAGACCTCCATAGAAAGTCTCTATCCGAAATTGCTCCTCGTATCCATGGTGAGGGCATTGGAGGAAGTAGTTGGAGAATCTTTCCCATTCATCCCTCAATGTCTCATCTTCCTCTTGCTCAAAGTGAGTAATCTTCTTCCTCCACTCGGCCGTCTTGGAAGGAGGACAATATCAGGTCATGAACTTGTTGAGTAAATCATCCCAAGAGGTCATGGATAGAGCCGGACGGTTGTTGAGCCATCGGAGTGCCTTCACCGCAAGAGAGTAGGGGAATAGTCTCAGTTGCAATGCCTCCTCCGGGACACCATTTATCTTTAGGCTTCCCGCAAGCTCAAGAAACCTTTGAACATGCTCTCGTGGTGATTCTTAAGCAAGCCCATGGAATAAGGCGTTGTTTTAAATTAATTTCACGAGAGTGGGCTTGATTTCAAAGTTTTTGGTAGCCACAGGTGGATGTAAGATGGGAGATTGGATATCCGCCGCCCGTGGAGCCATGCAGATAGCCCATAGTCCTTGGCTCTTCCTCGGCTCCCGCTTCCTCATTTTGGTTCTGAAGCGGATTAGCACCTTGATGTTGATTCCCTACCATTTCAACTTCAACTTCTCCTTCAATTCCTCCAAATCCTTCTCCTTCTTTCCTCCGCTAGATCCCTCTCACGAACCAAAAGTCGGAGAGTCCGGTTGATGTTCTCGTCTAGTGGTGTAAAGGCGCTAGATTGCTCCGGGTCATACACCTCCCTGCGCACACTTAAAGAACACAACACGTCTAGCACAAGCACACTTCACACTTAACTAAACTGGAAATCAAAGCTACATTAACACCAAACAGTCTTTTCAAGATAACGGACCAAAGCTCCCCGGCAACGGCGCCAAAAACTTGACTCGCTCCGATTATCACAATAAAATTTCACCTAAGGCCCTAGTATAAACCTTAGATGGGTGCAATATAAGGCAAGTATGTTTAAATATCAACCCGGGCCGGTCCATGTACCACTACTTCAATTGTTTGAAACATTATCTAGCAGAATGTTGTTTGTTGAAATATCTACAATCTACTATTGAAAAGGAAGACTTGAAATGTAAAAGGGTGGAAAACTCTTAGTGGGAAGCTTTACTCGGGAGTTGCTTCCCCCTAACTAACTACCATGAACCGTGGGATCGACTTACCTTCTCCCTCAAACCAAGGCTTGGACGGCATAATCACAATTAACCTAGGTGTCTAATTTAAGTTAGAGTTTTTCCCTTCATTGACCTAGTTAGGAGGCATGGAATGCCTAAGAAAACCCAGCTCAATTTTGTACCTCTTAAGACAAGGGGGCTTCTTTCTAAGCTAGGTTAGAATATCATAATAGATTGCTAAGCACACACAATGCACAATCACCATGAAAACTACCTCAATTCTTAAATTAAACACCGCCATCACACAATCATTCAATCCACACAATCAATTACATGGTAGTATTTAGGGTTCTACTACACCCAAGTAAAAAAGGAAACTACTCCATGCTAGACAAAGGAAGAACACAAAGGATGAAGTAAGAAACCATCATTGTGATGCCTCCAACTCTCCTTGTGCTTGTAGAGATCCTCTCTTGAGGAGGAACTTCCAAAATCTTCACTTGGAGCAAACCCTATCCTCTTATCCCTCTTGGTTTGTGCTTTCTCTCTCTAGGGTTTCAAGAAGAAGAAGATTTCTCTAACTTTGGACTCCCCCTTCTTCTTCCTTTCAACTCTTTATTTATACTCAGATCGCGGCCGTGAACTCTGATCAAAACGTGTTGTTGCTTCACTTCTGGGGTTCACGGTCCATTGCCCCAGTTCACGGTCTTAGCAACCGTGAACTGCCTCAGTGTCAGTAACCTCTGAAACCCCTGTCGACGCTTCGCTGTTCATGGTTTGTGGTTCCACTTCACGATCCTGGCGACCGTGAAATCCAAGCTTTGACCGTGAACTGCGGCTGAAAACTCCTCTTTGCCCGGTCTTTGCTCCTTTTCTTCCAACTTTCGACTCCGGGTTGGTTTCATCTGTTGGACTCCGACATACATTGAAACACAAGAAACCTAGCGTAAAACCACCCTATTAGGAGCTCAAATGCCACAAACGTCAAAGAAAATGGGGATAAAAGGTGTACATTTAGGCCCGAATCACTAATCCGAGCCACCTAGAATTTCTTCATCAAGTTCCGCGCATGCTGGGTTATTGGGGCATAGCCATACGTGTGATTTTCCATTCGCTTTTTTTTATGATGACGTCGAGTGATCTATATATGATTTTCATGAGTTGGTTTGGTTAAGTATCTGGATGTAGTAGCTATAAAAAAATTCTCGTTTTTCGCTCATATTACAATAATGTATCAACTTGAAATGTTTTTTTTTTTCGCTATCAAAAGTGTTTTCGCTCATTAATCCAAAACAATCAATTCAGTTATATAAGTAAGCATAAACTACATACATGATTAAAATATTAAACTCATGATAATAAATATAAGAACTTGACTAACCATGTCACATGGGTTAGATCCTACCATTACTGCCACACTTGCCCTCCTCGGCGTCCCATTCCATAACCCATACTGATAGTTGATGGTCTTCCGTCAGTAACTCAACTACATGTATGAGAAATCTCTCATCCTCTAAAAGTAAATATGACTCCTATAAAATTTAATTGTCGTTTGATAATGTTCGACAAAGTCATCCTCCAAAATTTGAGTACACACCTTGCATAAAACTCTTTTTGTCAATTTGGCGGGCGGTTAGTGGAAAACATAATTAGGAGTTCGGAAAGAAAAATAAGTTATTTTTAGGGTGAATAATTTATTTTGGCTCGAACTATTCCCATATAATCAACTTTGACCCGTGATGTAAGAAATTGTCATCCTGGTCTCAACTATACATCATATAGTCTAGTTAGCCGGATGCGTGCATTGACCGTCAATTTAGACGGTCAATACCGTTGACTAACGATCAACACTCCACCTCACCACCACGTCAACAACAAATAAATATATAAATTCAAATTATAATTTTTTTTATCCTTTACTTAAATAATGCTAAAAAAGTAAACAAAAAACTCATTGCGGTCGTCATCACAAATTTTCCAGTCGTAAGCCCTCGCCGCCTCCAACAGCGTGTTGAAAGTTCCCAGGATCCCGCATTTCTGCGGTCTGGGATAGAGTCAGTAACCAATGGTTACTGACCTATCAGTAAATGCATGCACACCGTAGATCTAGGGGCGGATCAATCATGCGGCTGGGCTGAATGCGGGGTCCACCAGAAGGGCATTTTTGTCCGTTTATGAATTTTTATTTTTATTATATTCCAAGTTTAATGGCCGTTTTTTCAAAAAAAAAAAGACCACTTTTAATGGCTGCATTTTCAAAGGAGGAGAGAGAATAATTTCTCTGCAACTCTCTTTTCTCTTTCTCCCTTCCTTTTTCTCTCTCAATCTATCATTTCTCTTTCTCTGTTCCTTTTTTTCTCTCCAATCTCTTTCTCCATATCTAGATCTGCTTCCTTCTCTTCTTTTTTCGTTTTTTTCTCTCTCTAGCAATCGACGAAGAAAAATTGCAGCCACCCTCTTTCATTGCGTTTTTTGTCTCTTCATCAACTTGTTGGCCTCAATTTCGGTCTTTCTCCCTTTTGTGGCGTTTGGTGTTCTTGATTGCGGAGGAAATGAGACGAAATAGAAGACGAGTTTTTTTCCCTCTCCCTCTTTCTGTTTTTTTTCTTTTAGGTAATATATATTGATATTTACATGCTATACTATACGGTATTGTGTGGTAACGAAATATATATTGATATTACCACACTATACCATATGGTATTGTGTGGTAACGAAATATTTATTGATATTACCGCATTATACCATATAGTATTGTGTGATATTACCACACTATACCATATGGTATTGTGTGGTAACGAAATATATATTGGTATTACTACACTATACCATATGGTATTGGGTGGTAACAAAATATATATTGATATTACCACACTATACCATATGATATTGTATGGTATTGTGTGATATTACCACAATATACCATATGGTATTGTGTGGTAACGAAATATATATTGATATTACCACACTATACCATATGGTATTGGGTGGTATTACCAAATATATATTGATATTACCACACTATACCATATGGTATTGGGTGGTAACGAAACATATATTGATGTGGCAAATTTTTCATACCATATGGTATTGACATGTAATAACTGACAAATTTTTTTATGTCCAAAAAATATCAAAGTGAATATCATTTGGAAGAGCACAATTAATATGATCTAACTGTGTAAAAAAAATTAAATTCTGACTTAAAACGAGTGAGAAATCGTCCGTTAAAGATTAAGGGAAAGAAAATTAAAGGTTTTTCGAGAAGAGGGAAGGAGGCGCTGATATGGTCTGGTCAAAAGTCAGCGTCAGCAATAAATAGGGGTAAGTGCAAATTTACCTTCTTGCCCTTTTGCATTTAATTTAAATAAAAAAAAAAGCTGACACGTGGGACCGGGGAAGGGGTTACTGATGGGTATTGACCCATCAATTACTCACTTGATCTGCTCCCCATTTCTGTCGCGTTCTTCACCCGCGGTCTCTGCATCAGTCCCCTGTACTGTCTTTCGCCGCCGCCGCCAGATCCCGTAGCCGTCGCTGCTTCCCCTGTCGGCCAGAATCGGATCACACCGTCGACTGCTCTGGTTCGATCTTTCGCGCTTCTCCGGACTCGAATCTCAAGAATAACGCGTTGCCACCGCTCGAGCGAGGATTGGTAATAGTCCTCTGTTCTAAGGTGAGATCGATTCCGGCGGAATTGGTAATGAATTCAGGAGTTTAAAAGAAGAGGATTCGAGCTACCTTGCCGATGCCGGAGATGACAAAGAACACCCCTGCTTAACCCAATTGCTACCCAATGAAGCCATGGCTAGCAATTTCCAGAATGGCGATTCCCAGATAACCCAATCTCTAACAAACCAATTTTGCTAATTCCCAGAATAGTGGGTTGGAGCCTGAAATACCACGGGAACTCATCGAAAATCAATTCTCTCACTAAGAAATTGGCCTGCAGCAAGCAAATCGCTTGCAAGTCCATCGGCGGCAAGGTCCGGAACTGTCGCCCTCCGCGAGATCTGAAATTACCAGAAGAGTTTGGCAGTACAAAGATCCAAACCCCGAGTTCAGCGTGGTGAGAGAAGGATTTTGTTGATTTTAGTGAACAGTTAAATTTTTTTATTAATTAATATTATCTACATGGCATATACGTCAGCACTACATGCTTTTAGGTTGGTAGGATGGCAATGGGGCGGGTTGGGGCGGGTTTTGTCAAACCCAAACCCATGGATTTATCCGCCAAAAAAATCCGGGGTAAAACCCGTTGGGTTTGAAAAACTAAAACCCAACCCGCTGGCTTTCCGCGGGTTCATGAGTACCCGTGGGTTTTTGTGGTAAAAACTTTACAATAACAAGTTTTTTTCAAAATAAAAGTTTAACATAAATTTTCTCATACAAATTATTCATACAAAAAACACCAATCTAAAGCATACAAGCAAACCGCAAATGATCAATACAAATTGTTCAAAATTAAAAATAAACATCCATAAACAATAAGATTAATTGAAAGCTTCTTCCTCGTCGACTAAGTTTCTTCACTCTCCACTTCATAATATCAACTTCATTCTAAACAATTAGAAAGAACAAATTATACATGTCTCCACAAACATAAAGAATATTAGTTGTTTAAAGAAATATTATTTAGAATATTAAATATACCGGGAAAGTAATTATATGTGAGTGGGCGGGTACCCATGGAGCGGGTTTAGCTAAACCCAAACCCAACCCGACCCGGTGAATAGTGTAGCGGGTTTAAACCCAAACCCGGCCCAAAACCCGTCAACACGGGTTTTACCCGCGTTGACCAAGTTGGGTCGGCTGGGTACCTATGGGTTCGAGTTTTGTTACCATCCCTAGTTGGGAGGGGAAAACACGCACTCAACTTTGTGATATGACCCCAACTGGATCACTCTACAAATGGGAATTGCTTGGTTAAGAAGCCAACTCAACTCATTGGAAAAACTTGAAATTTTGGCTGTGTGGTAAAGCTGTTTCGTGTACCTCACTTTGCCAGCCTGGTCCATTCGTTTGGGTTGATGAAAATGAAAGGTGGAGGGTTTGTTTTGAAGCCAATAACTTTCTTTACAACTTGGAGTGCCTGGGATCGCGAGGTAAGGCTGAAAACTGTGTACCGCAAGCTCGACCAAACTCTTTGCCAGCACGGGCAGACTGCCCGGATTTGGCTAAGGTATTGGGCGAGCTCAGGATGGTAAGATTGGAGCTTAATTCGAAGAGAAGGGATGAGAGTCGGGTTCCGAAGTTTGCCTCACATGAAATTACGCAACTTTTACTACTGCGACGAGGCGTTGGATGAGGAAGTGTGTACCTGGAAGCCACGATCGAGCAGCTCCAAATTGGGATCGAGGTTGTGCAAGTTGCTGGCGGAAGAGGCAGAGTTGTAATCCGAATTGCATTCGGATTCAGACTTATTACTTTGTTTCCTTGTTTGTTTTGGTTTCTTTCTGTTTTAGGTTTTGTTTTGGTTGTATTTAAGTACGTAGAAGGGTTTGTAATAGTCAGACGATGAAGAATGGAAGAATTGAAAACCCTAAAACTAAGTTTTGTGCTTTATTTTGGTTGAGAGTTTGGTCGAGAAAACCAAGCTCGAAATTGAGCTCTTGTATCGATCAAAACCCCATTGATCGTGGGCGAGCATCGACTTTGTTCGTTGAGCATTCCTCCAGGTGTAGGATTGCACATCGAATTCCATCCCCAGCTGGCTAGTTGTTCACGAAATTTCGAGCTTCTGTCTCAAGCTAGAATTTGGAGACCAATCACCCTTCGAGGGTGTTATCAAGTGGCATCAGATTCTTAGGTTCAAACACAGTAGCCCGAACGACAACAACCGATGTCGGGACAACCCCTTAGACGAGGTCGAAGGGTCTTGTCGACAGTGATCCTGCGTAACGAAGCAGAGAGCACTTTCGAATCCACAGTAGCAACACAAATTGAAGCTCAAGCGATGGCTGAGGAATCCATTGACAATTCGGAGCTGCTGCAGTCAATTGTGGCGACGTTCCAGACTCAATTCGACTAAATTCAGAGGCAACTGGCCGAATTTAGGACGACCGTCCATGCCCCTGTTCTGCCGAGACATGTGGCAGAGCACGACGGTAACCACCAAGCTCAACCGGAGGAGCAGGCCGACGAGGCGAATCCAGGAGCTCGAACAGAGGCTGGTGGTGGCTGATCACGACCCAGAATGACGCTTCTGTGTTCGCCGCGAACATAGGGATGGACGACCGGGAACAGAGCACGGAATTCCTCAAGGAATCAAGCTGGCAATTCCGACCTTTCAGGTAACGTTGAGTGCTTCGACGTACCTCGATTGGGAGCGAATGGTCATCCTTTTCTTCCAATGTGGCCAATTCAACGAGCCACAGAAGTTAGCCATGATTACGTACGAATTCTCGGACTATGCAACTCAATGGTGGGAACAATTGCAACTTCGTCGACGACGAAATTTGCAACCTCCTATGACGACATGAGACGAGTTACGGGGACTTATGAGGGATAAGTTTGTCCCTGGGTACTATCTACGTGAGCTACACGAATCACTACGAGGAATCAAACAGGGATCGAGAAGTGTTGAAGAATATTTTCATGAATTGGAGTTGTTGTTGCTGCAAGCTGACGTTAGGGAGGACAGGGAAGCTACAATTGCTCGGTTTCTACACGGGTTAGGTTGATAAATTCGTCAGGAGGTTGAGTTAAGAGCGTTTGTTGATTTAGAGGAAGTTGTGCACCTCGCTGTAAAGATCGAGAAGTAGCAAAGAGCCACATCAGGGAGGCAGTTTGCTGGGCACAAACCTGCTATTGAAAGTGCTGCTGAGGTTGCCCCTCTCCCACACAAACCTGAGCTGCCAAATTCGCGCCAAGGAATGCTTCAACGACGAATCCAGAACGTGCAGGGGGTTCCAGTGGCTCGATTCAGTGCTTCAAGTGCCATGATCAAGGACATAAGGCAAATCAGTGCCCCAATGTTAAAACCTTGGTCCTCCGAGATGGTGACTACGTCTCTAACAATGAAGAGGAGCATAAGACAGTGCTCAAGGACTCGTCTGATGAAGACGTCGAAGAAGAGATTGAGGCTGAGAAGGGTCCATTTCTGTTTGGGATTAATCTTAGAGCCTTGACCATGGAATCCGAGGCGGAAGAAAGCCAACGAACCAACCTCTTCCACACGAGGTGCTTGGTCAATGGTCATCGATGGGGGCAGTTGTACGAACGTAATTAGCCACGATGCTGTTAAAAAACTGGGGTTAGCAACAATTAAACACCCTGATCCCTACGGATTGCATTGGCTCAACGACTAGTTGCTTTTGAAATCGGTACCTACAAGGATGAGTTGTTGTGTGATGTTGTGCCGATGCAAGCTGCCCATATCTTGCTAGGGAGACCCTGGCAATTTGATCGAGCGGTAACCCACGACAAAGGCACGAATTTTCATAAATTCAAGCTCGGTGGAAAGAACATTGTGCTAAAGCCTGCCTTTGTCTCCATCGGAGGCTCGCTCCGATCAACTGAAGTTGGCTGCACATCGGACTAAGAGTGGCGAGGAAACACGATGAGGCAAGGCAAGGGCTGGTTTATGAACAGGTTGGTTCATGCTGACGGCCTTGAGGCGAGAAAAGCTCCGATGTACGAGCTCCCAACACAGCCCCTGTTCTCCGATGACGGTGAGGCAGGGCAGGAGAGAGGGCTCATTGGGTGGAGCTCCTGGGAGCAATCCGACCCAAACCAAGACGCCCGACGCATTCCCTCATACCCAGGTAAGCTTTTCGCTTCAACAATTGGGGTCAATTCCGTTTTTTTTTTTTTTTTTTTGCAGGATCACATTCGCGCTCAAACTCCTCTGCTGGAACTCAAACACGAGCAGCCTACTCGTGAATGGGTTGGTGAGTTTGGCGATGAATTGACCGAAACGATTGATGTGGATTCGACGAGGGAAGTCCCAAGAAGGTGTAGGAAGCTTCAATTACGGATGTTGATCTCTGAGGACGAAAAGCCCAAATCGAATTTGGATGTTCTGAGTTCCAAAATTTCGAACTCGGTGGATGGCGGGAAAACGCGCGACGATGATTCAACAACAATGGAGTTGCAACGAGGGTTGAAACAGGTTCAGAAGCTCAATTGTAGGTTGAAAAAAGCTCATGGAGGCATTGAATTGGATTGTCGAAGCTCGAATAAAGAATTCCCAAATTCCAGCTCGAAGAACAGTGACATCATTTTCCAGAAAATGTCGTCTGAGCAGCCTTTTTCGATCTAATTTGGGATCAGTTGTGTGGCCGGTTTGAGAAGGGAAAAGAACCAGCTTTGAGGGCAAAGCTTTTTGAAGTGGGAGGACCTAATATGACCCTAATTGGATCACTCTACAAGTGGGAATTGCTTGGTCAAGAAGCCAACTCAACTCATTGGAAAAACTTGGAATTTTGGCCAAGTGGTAAAGTTGTTCGGGTACCTCACTTTGCCAGCCTGGTTCATTCGTTTGGTTCGATGAAAATGAGAGGTGAATGGTTTATTTTGAAGTTGGTAACTTTCTTTACAACTTGGAGTGCCTGGGATTGCGAGGTAAGGCTGAAAAGTGTGTACTGCAAGCTCGACAAAACCCTTTGCCAGCATAGGCAGACTGCCCGGATTTGGCTAAGGCATTGGGCGAGTTCAAGATGGTAAGTTTGGAGCTTAAATCGAAGAGAAGGGATGAGAGTTGGGTTTCGAGGTTTACCTCTCATGAAAGTACGCAACTTTTACTACAGCGACGTGGCGTTGGAAGAGGAAGTGCGTACCTGAAGCCATTGATCGAGCAGCTCCGAATTGGGATCGAGGTTGTGCAAGTTGGTGGCGGAAGAGGCAGAGTTGCAATCCGAATTGCATTCGGATTCAGACTTATTACTTTGTTTCCTTTTTCTTTTTGGTTTCTTTCTATTTTAGGTTTGGTTTTGGTTGTATTTAAGTACGTAGAAGGGTTTGTAATAGTTAGACGATTAAGAATTGAAGAATTGAAAACCCTAAAACTTGCTTTGTTTTGGTTGAGAGATTGACCGAGAAAATCAAGCTCGAAATTGAGCTCTTGTATCGATCAAAACCCCATTGATTGTGGGCGAGCATCGACTTTGTTCGTTGGGCTTTCCTCTAGGTGTAGGATTGCACATCGAATTCCATCCCCAGCTGGCTAGTTGTTGACGAAATTCCGAGCTTGTTTCTCAACCTAGAATTTGGAGACCAAACACCCTATGAGGGTGTTATCACTTTGGATTTCTCTCATTCTGGATATACAGACAAACGAAAAACAAACACTCTTGCACTCCTAAAATATGACTAAAAGCAGATTAATTGATACAGCAAGAAAGCAAAATTCAAACACGTACAAAGCAAAATTCATCTTTATTATTTTATTGCGTGGTCCAGAAGCAACAGAGCAGGCTTCCGACCGTGGCTTCAAACCACCGGGGGCGGCAGAGAGTGTTCGGTTCACCGGTAGTTCCTGTACACAGGGCTGTACATGCAGCTCTCCGCGTACTTTACGAGACTCGCCGGACGAGGAATCCGGCTGGCCAATCCAAGCTCGTAAGCCTTGGCAGCGACTTTAGCAGCGATCTCAGCCGAGATCTTCCTGATCTTGGAGAAAGGCGGGTAGATCAGCCCTTTCTCGTACTCTGCATCCGTCACTTGTTCTGCCAATGCCTCAGCTGTAAACACGAAAAGCAGTGTTTTAGAAGAAGAAAAAAAGACTTGATCATCATTCCACCGTATGGATTTTTTGCTAGCGATGTAGACAACTTACAAGCTGCAAGAAGCATGTCGTCGTGGACGCGAATGGCACCAGACATCACCACTCCCAACCCAAATCCAGGGAAAATGTATGCGTTGTTGCCCTGAATATCCAATCCACAACAAAAGGAACATCATTGTCTCAGTACTTTGATGGTCTTGTGAGCATTTAAGAACAAGAAAAAGGAAGAATCAAGAAAGGGAAAAACCTGTCCGGGGACAAAAACTTTGCCCTCGTACTCGACAGGATCGAATGGACTCCCGCTAGCGAAAATTACTTTACCCTGTCGAGTAAACATAAAGGCAGGTTAGTTATCGTGCATTGCTTAGCAAAGATGCAAAACAGTAGAGGCTGCTTCACGTTTGATAGTAAGGACTTCTTGTGTGTTCTTCTCTTTTATTGTGCTTACCTTGCTCCAGGTGTATGCTTCTTCGGCAGTACACTCAGCTTGTGAAGTTGGGTTGGACAGAGCCATGATGAGAGGTTTCTGCACGTGGTTCAAATGGAAACAGTCAAGGTTTTCGTACTGGTTGATCACATTGCATATTCACTATACAGTCTAATCTGAGAAAGAGGAAAATGCCTCATTGAAGGAAGACATGGCTTCAACGACTTCCTTTGTGAATGTTTTGCCCATCCCTGATGCTCCGATAAGAACCGTTGGTTTGAGTGCCTGGACAAGACAATGAAATATCAGCAAGGCTAGAAAAGGTTGACAAAAGTTGACCGGCGATTTCTTGTTCACAAAAAAGATATTCTTTTTCATTACGTTGACAGCTTCCAAGAGTGTCTTGACAGATTCATGCTCATGTGCCCATGGCTGCTTGAAGTGCTGAAGTGATTCTAGGCGGGATTTGACGATTAAACCCTGTCAAAAGTAGAGGGGCTGTGGATTAAGCAAAATTGTAAATTGACTGATTGATTAAGTTGCATGCAATCTTGAGAGTTGGCTGGCATTTCCCAACTCACCTTTGAGTCCACCAAGTAGATCCTCTTACGACACTCTTCCAAAGGAGTATTTGTCTGGAAAAAGGAAACTATCCCAGTGAGTGAAACGTTACACTAGTGCAATGTTAGATCCCCAAATAACAAAAAGGAGACCGTAGAGCCATGAACAATAGAAACATACTCGCTTTGACATCTCGAGAGCTATAAGCTCAGCTATCCCAGTTCCAGCCTGCAAAATTACAATGTAAAACAGGTGAGTTTTCTTCTGGTTAAGACTTGAGACTAGAACTGAAAGCATTTGGGTTCTCAGAATCATAGATTAATCTTACTTCTCCGGCACCCAAGAAGAGGAACTTGTGATCAGCAAGGGAGCCACCAAGGATCTTCAATGCTGAAACAACTCCTGCAAGAACCACAGATGCTGTACCCTGCAACAATAGGAAGTAAAATGTTAGCATAAGTAAATGTAAAGAAGACAGGTAATCTAAATCTTTTTGGGAGAGGCCAAACCTGGATATCATCGTTGAAAACAAGATGACTTGTACGGTACTTCGCAAGTAGTTCAAAGGCATTGTGGTTGGCAAAATCTTCAAACTGAAACATTTGGCAAAAATATAGCATACAGCAAGACAAGCCTATAAGAACTTCATTCATAAAAATAAAAATAAAAAAACATATAAGAACTTTTGGAGTAAGGATATATGAACTTAAGGAATTGCTTCATGCCTGAATAAGAACTTTTTCTCCATAACACTGCTTTACAGCTGACATGAACTCATGAAGAAGTTCAGAATATTCCTGGAAACAAGAGTCACAAAGAGGCATTAGCTAATCCAATTGCCAAGGAACTCCGGACCTGCTTTCTAATCAAGGGAGTGGCCAGTACCTGGCCAGTAGCCCTCCTTTGTTTAAGTCCAATATAGAATTCATCATTCAGCAACTTCTCATTGTTTGTACCAACATCAATGGTAATAGGCAAACACTACCAACAACAAATCAGAGACATTCTCAATCAGCATCCAAAGAAGTATAATTGTTGTACACAAACATTTGTGGTAGAAGAACACAGCTCCAATCCACCATAACTGGGGCTAAATTTCTGAAGAATGCTTACTGCAGATGGGCGAATTCCTCCAAGCGCGGTGTAAAGAGACAACTTTCCAACAGGAATTCCCATCCCCTGTTACAAAGTCCACCATTAATCAGATTTCACTTGCATACAAAGTACATGAAGCGAGAAACTGAAGCTCTGTTTAATGTACATCGCTTTTATGCGCTGCTAATTACAAATTCTCGGAACTGAGACTAGTATTACCTGGCATCCAAGATCTCCGAGTCCCAAAATCCTTTCACCATCTGTCACGACAATGACTTGAATGCTCCTCTCAGGCCAGTTCTTCAACACATCAAGAACTCTCCCCCTGCACACCCAATCAATCGTAAGGAACAAAAAGATTCAACTAGCATACGCAAATCACTTGTTCACATAAATGGATCAGACTGACATACTTCTCTTTCAAGCTGATGTATAGACCCTGAGGGCGCCTGAAAATGCTGCCGTACTTCTGGCAAGCCTCCCCAACTGTGGGAGTGTAAACAACTGGCAGCAACTCCTCGACATTGTCGATGAGAAGCTTATAGAACAGCCTTTCGTTCCTCTCCTATTGATTGAAAATGAAGCAATCAGTTGACGCTATTTCAAATTTGACGCCACTACAAGGAAAAGAACAACCAGAAAGAAAGCTACCTCGAGTTCCATCATGGCCATGTACTTCTGAATCGGAAGCTGATACTGTCTAATGGAGTTCATCAATTTCTTCTCCTGAAGCTGCTGTGAGAGAACAACAGGCGGCAGAAGGCCGGACAAGTAGTGAGCATCTCTCTCCTTCTCGGTGAAGGCCAGCCCCTTGTTATGGCGAGGATCTCTCAGCAGAGAGTACCCACTGCAAAAATCAAACGAAATCCAAAAAGACCATAATCAGTAACCACACAATCTCCAGCACTACGTCATAAAACCTAATTGGACTCCATTTTCAAAGCGGTGAAATCTAAACAGTAATATTATCGGATCTCGATTAGTCTCGTTCAACTTGGAAGCACAAGATCAAACGTGATTCCGAACTAAAAAAAAAAAAAAAAGAGGAATTCAAATTAGCCTCTAGGCTCTTCGGAGCTGCAGCAGTGAAGGAGCAAGAAAATTAAAATCTCCGATTCAGTATCGAGTAAACAGCTAACACTCCGCTTCATTGTACGAAAGCACTAAGTCACATAGACGCCATTTTCAGGCTGTGAAATCACAGATCAAAGCGGCGATAACTATACTGTAATATTATCGGATTTCGATGTCTCTTTCAACTTGGAAGCACAAGATCAAAAAGGAATTCAAATTTGCAACAAGGTTATTCGGAGCTGCTGCAGCAAGGAGCTAGAAAATTAAGACTACGACTCAGTAACGAGCTAACACTCTGCTTCACTGTACAAGCCCAAAACAGAGACCGACCTACAGCTGATCGTCAACTTAATCAACTAGCAGCCAGCTAAAAGGCACAAAAAATCTTCGATCAGTAACCAAACTGGCGATCAGCCCGGACTCGGAGGAGAGCACAGGAATTCAAGTAAGCAAGTAGGAAGCTCAAAGTCACGGTAGCTGAGAAAGGGAAAAAGCAGGACCAAGCGAAGCGGGGCTTAAGAGAGAGTAAGTAGTGAGTAACCTGGCGACGGAGACGGTCCAGGGAGTGATGAGCTGGTCCTCGGTGGCGAAGTCCTCGCCGTAGACGTCTTCGACGCCACCGCCGACGGCGGTCTTGGGGTCGAGGTCGAGGACGGAGGCTGAGTCACCGAGCTCTTTCATTGTGCTCTCCATTACTGAAAGCTGAAACGGTGACGGTGGTGATCGGAAATCGGAAAAGTCAAATGGAGGGAGAGATGGTGGAAAAGTTGTTGACGGAATGGAAATTTGGAATGGATTGGATTGGAAGAAATCATGCAGAGGGGTTGGGGGTTTTTATAATGTTACCTGTAGTAGAGAAGGCAGGCTCCCACCCTGCATTATTGGGTTCAAAGATTATTCAAAAATGGGAAGAAATATCTGTCTTGCTGTCTGTCATTGTCCATTTGAAAACTCCACAACTTGGTGCCACGAATATGTGATTTTGACCTTTTTCTTTCTTTTCTTCCTTTTCATATGTGCTTTTCCTTCGGATTTACCATGCAGTCTGACTTGTTTGAGTTATTTGGGTCAAATTTGGATTTGGTAGTGTTCAAACTGTTCAACTGAAATGAGTTATTTGGACAATGAGTTATTTACAAATAACTCAAAATTGATTATTTGAAATAAATCGTTTTATCATTCTACTTTATCAAATACCACATGTCAAATCCAACATTTGAATGGTTCAACTAAACGAGATATTTTATTTCAATTACCACTACATGAACAATAAATGAGTTATTTGACTCTACAAATACCACATTGATTCTACCAACAACAAAAATACCACATTGACAATTAACTCATCCAAACGATTGCTCACAGTCGATTCACCTATTCGATTGAATAAGAGATAGTCGATCATCTTGTTTTGTTGTTTCATGATTTGTGAAGAACAAGAGGGTGAGAAGATTTGGTTTTTAGAATTTGGATGAAAATTTTGATTGAATTTGTGCTTGATTGGATTTTGACTCTACAAATAACACATTGACAATTAACTCATCCAAACGATTGCTCACAGTTGATTCACCTATTCGATTGAATAAGAGATAGTCGATTAGGGGTGGCTATACGGTCCAGTCCGGTTAAATTGGACCAAATTGATCCGGTCCTAGTCCTGTCTTTTTGGGAATATAAGGACCAAAGATTGGATTGGATACACTCTGGTCCTGATCCGGTCCGGTCTTGACCCGATTCGGTCCCAATTTGATTTTGATTTTAGATTGAGCTTGTGGGGATTTGAGTGTTGGGGTCTCTTATCCGGTCTTTATCCGGGTTTTTTACCTCAAATCTAAGCCCGAATATGAGATTGGATTGTTTGCTATCCGGTCTCAGTCCGGTCCCGGTCCGGGTTATACGGTCCGGTTTCGGGTAAAACCAAACAGTCCTAGACCAAATTGCCAGCCCTATAGTCGATCATCTTGTTGTGTTGTTTCATGATTTGTGAAGGACAAGAGGGTGAGAAGATTTAGTTTTTAGAATTTGGATGAAAATTTGATTGAATTTGTGCTTGAATGGATTTTGTCTCAATTTATAGATAAATCCAATATCACAATAAAAGGTGGATTGTAAATTCCCAAAAAAAAATGTGGAGAGATGCTCTCGCCTCTCTCCTCTGCGTTTGCCGACTGATCGGCCGTTTACTCATCGTAGCTGTGCAGGAAGTCCTGCATGCTAGCATGCACAACCAAGCTCAGTGGTGGTGTGAACCTGGATTGCCGCCAGATCAGGAAATAATCCTTCCGTCTTATCCCGGCCGATGCTCACCTGAGAAAGGGTTTTGGGGTTCCGGTCGATGCGATAAGCTCCGATCCCATAATAGGGATTTGAAACGGAAAAACAGATGGTATATGGCGGAGTGTGATATAAACCACTCCGTAATGAAGAAGAGCCGAAGTGACCCTCGTAAAACGATGTGGAGATTTAAATTCCCTTTGTCGGACGAGCTGGACAACATGATCGGTGAGCATGTCCCCTCGTGCCAAACTAGCCTTGCTCCTCCCAGGAAATTTCCACTGCCGAAGCCGCTGGAGACTCCAACCTTCACGGTTAGATCATGTCAATCACCACGGCCCCAGAGCTAACCTGGAACAATACCGAATCAAAGGGTAGCGAGCCGGGCAGAATGTGCTGCCGTCCGGACCAAGAAATCAGCCCAGGCCGGCCGGAACAATTACGGTGGCGCAGTCAGGTCCGGCGAGACCATACAAGCTGGAGACTGAATAATTTTGAACTCCGCTGATGAAGACGCCGGATTTTGCGTTCGGGATAGAGGGGATTGTTCCCCGTAGGATCCGCCAACGCAATAATATCTTCGATTTTATTTTTAAAAATACGGGTCAATTGGTTCTGTTGGATGGGGATAGAGATGTGACTCGGAGACTCCCTTATCTCCCTCCTCAAAGCCATGACATGATAAACGTCCTGGAGGGAAGCGGCCTAGTTGGACAAGAACTCTCGACGAACACTTGCTATTTAAATCCCTTGCATAGTCTCGACTCCATACCTTGGCAGTATAGCGAGCACCGTCTGGTGATAACAAGTGTTGAGAATTCCGGTGGAATTTCCTCCAACTCAGGATCCCCGCTTACCCCAGGTATGCTACATCCCCCTGCTACTAATAATTGTTTCTTCTTGAGAGAGGAACAAAACCTTGGTTCCACTGCCGAGCCGTGGGATTTGCTGAAATCTCAATGGCAGTCAATGATGCTTACGATAATTAACGATACTCCCTCCTCCTCTGTGCAGAATAATATGGCGATGCATGTGAGTGAGGACCAAGTGGTGCAATTTTTTCTTGATGAAGTTAAGTCCGTTCATGCTCGTAGATCCCATACGCTGCTTGGCCGCATCTTCACCACGGCGAGGATCTCGACCGCTGAAATTCACGACTGGGTGAATTCCCCATGGCAATGCAAGGGGAGGGTCAAAGTGCTGCAAGCCAAACATGGCTTATTTGAGTTGGTCCTCCCCACTGAAGAATCCAAATTTTGGGTTCTAAAAAGAACTCCATGGGTGGTGAATGACAAAATCATCCATCTTCGAACATGGACACCGGCGATAACCAGGCAGACGTATGAAGAGCTGGCGGTGGCCCCATTCCGAGTGCAACTTTGGGATGTGAAAGATGATTGCTGCACAGCCAAGTTTGGCATGAAGGTGGCTGGTCCTACGATCGGACAAGTGCTAGAATCCGGGATATACGCTTGCACTGACAACGGGCAATACTTCGAGAGCGGATCCCATGACTAAGGGGGGGTCCTTAGTCACTTGACTAAGCCCCTCCTAGCCACTAGATCTGGACACTTCAATCCAATGGTTAAAAAGTGGGAAGGGCTATTTAATTAATGACAGGGGAAGTTTGGGTATTATGGAAAATTACAAAGTATACAAACCGGATTTACAATCAGTACAAACCATACAAACATACGGAAACGATGTTGTTTTTTTTATAATTAAAAATAAAAAATAAACATGTAATTACTACATTGCCCTTCATTAAATTGGAATAACAGGAGCCCTTGGATTTTAATGATGTGCAAGGATGGAGATTCACTTAGCCATGTGACTAAGGGGACCCCCTTAATCACCTGATCTCAGCCCCAATACTTCATAAAGGTGAAAGCGCAGATCGATTTCTTTCGGCCTCTGCGCTCACAATTAATAGCTGCTAGTGAGGAGACGGGAGGCTTCTGGGTTCGGCTGAAGTACGAGCGCCTCCCATCCTTTTGCTTCAATTGCGTACGAGTGGGACACTTCCAAAGAGAGTGTACTTTCGATCCCCCAACCCGCAAAGAGCGATTTGGCCCGCATATGATGACCAAAAACCTGGGAACGAGGGTCTATGATGCGGATGATATCACTATTCCCTTACAAGGGAAGTCTAAATCTGTTTGGGTTAATAAAGCCGTCAATGGTCCTCACAATCCACCTCACACTCTAAATGTGGAAGAACTGAGGCTAGAAGCTATGAAAGTGGATGGTGAAGGCCACCCTGATGTGGTTGATGGGAAAAGGGCCGAGGACCAAAGAGACCCTGAGCCACGGGGAAAAGAGAAGCAGTCGAAACCAAAGAGGCTCCCTAGGGGGTTCTCGATCCCACGCTCTCCAAAAGTGAGTCGGGGGCCTAGCAATTTGGGTTCCCTATCTTGATGCGCAAGTATCACCAGCAATGTGAGGAATGGGCGCGCTTGCCTGCCGAGAGTGAAACTCCGGGAAGAAGTCCTACCTTTCATGGTGCTGGGGCACTTGTGGGGCCATCAGTGATATGTAGGTGGGATGGGGCTACGAGAGCTGGGTCTCATTCGGCGGACGGGATGGTTCTTCTTGGCCCTCATAGGGACATCCTTTTTGCTCAAGGAGTCCAGTATCGGGGTATAGATGATCCTCTAGTCGTGGAAACCCTTGTCCTCCGGGAAGCTATCTCTTGGTGTGTCACTCATGGGTTCGTGAATGTGCGATTTGAAGGAGATGCCAAGGTGATCATTGACAAGATCAATCAAGCGGATACCAGAGATAGTACGGTGGGAATGATCTTAGAAGAAATTAGACAATATTTGGCTGATCACTCTGGGTTTACTATACGGTTTGTAGGACGGAGTAACAATAGGGTAGCCCATGCGGTGGCTAGAAAGGCCCTTTCTTTGTTTCAGTCTACTTGTCGTTCTTTTAATTTTCAGGCCTGGCTGTATTCCAGGATGTAACTACCTTCTTTTGTTCAATCAATATATGATTATCTTTTGTCAAAAAAAATAAAAATATAATGGATACCACGTTCTTTAAAAATTATATGGACATTAGTTCAAATTAGTAAAACTAACACATTTTTATCTGGGTGAAATTTAGCTGCAACCCGTACAGCAGCCCACCGCTGCAACCTTCCACATGGCACACAAAGATTGGTTCAACTAATTATTTCTTAAACATTAATTAATTTGTACGGGACGGTGAAGCATTTGACGGTTTTGGCAGTTTCACCCTTTAGGTTTTATTTTTGTTAGCATAAATAGGATGGAAACTGATTTATATCATAGAACGGTTTAACAAGTGGAATGGTTAATGGTTCTACCAGTGGTACAATTGTTTCGGTTCATACCGCTTGAAATAAATTATGATATTTCAAATAAAACAACAAATTATCATATTTAAATATAAAATTTAACGTTTAATATAAATATTAAATTTTAATCCAACAAATTTAACGTTCATACTGGTGGTGTTCGTGCCGGTTTCATGCCACCGATATGACAACCATGGGGGATTATGATTCTCTCAATCGCTATCCAACCCAAACCCGCCAGATTGTACAGTTGACTCATTTTGAGACAATTTGACCAAATTCATCCGTTTAGCAGCACAAAATTTAATGAAGTAATTATGGATGAGAAATTTCGAATTGACTTGTTTAAAATGATTTTCACAATAATCGGGTAGAAAATAAAAAACAAGTACATACTCGAGCGATTTTCACGTATCTACTAATAGACATGGTAATAATTTCATTTTATAACTCCAATCAACATGTTAACATTCAGACGTGTGCTAGCATTGCATAAGTGAAACAATACAAGAAGAACTCACTAGAATATGACATAAATTAGTTAAAAACGACACAATTTTGTGAAAAATATCATATATGTATAATAAACATCAAGTATGCTGAAAAATAAGAATCATTTCTAGACAAATATATATATATAATTGAATGAGTTCAAATTGAATAGTGAGAGAACCATATCCACCCATTAACCACAATATTCAAATTCAAATGTTATTCATTGCCGCTGAAAATTCCTTGGAATATGATTTTACCATAGTTAGATGATATACATTGTTGTGGATATTTTCTCATCCTATTTATGTTAATTATCCAAAATAAAACCTAAAGGGTGAAACAGCCAAAACCGTCAAATCTTCTCCGTCTCATTCCGTCAAAATCAAATTATTGTTTAAGAATTCATTAGTTTATTTAACCAATGGTTGGGCGCCATGTGGAAGGTTGCAGCAGTGGGCTGCTATACGGGTTGCAGCCAAATTTCGCCCTATTTATCTTTATGAAACTCGAAACTACTACTCGGGCAATCATTTTTAACTAGTACAATTATAGACGCGTCCTTTAAAATAATAATAATAATAATAATAATAATAATAATAATTGGAAAAAATGGAAGTGTGGGGGCTGGTCGAGCCGATTAAACTAAAAAAGTTATGGTTGAACGATAATTTAATCATATAATTGAATGAGTAAGGTCCGGTTATATGAATGGGAATCTAAATAAAATAAACTATACAGGTATTTTTCGAAGAAAAGGGTTAATTAGCATGCTTGATCAGAATTGAATTGAAATATTCTTCTGAACTCTAGTAGTCCCAGTCATGTGAAAGTTATACGTACATGCAAATTTATATTTTTAAATCTCCAATTTGATCCACCAGCACATTATAAAAACAGAGTCGAATAAATATTAAATGTTGACCTGGTGACCCAAATCAAATTAGGGAAGATTAATGGATCAGTCTACGCTATGTCAGAGAGTAGTTGGTTATTTTTTAGGACGATTAATGCTTATCAAGAGTTTTATGTCCTAATTGGTTGATGGCATGGATCAAACACACGATTTTACATGTGCCAAACCAACAACCTCATCATATGGACTATCCTCTTCCGCCAAATAGTAGCTGATAAAGGAGCAAAATACCATTAGACACAAAATTCGGATGGCAAAACCATGGAAATGATGATATTTGTAACGCATGCATGCCATATTTTACGGAGCTAAAATGGCATCATACACTACAAGAAAACTTGGTTTTAGAAGCAGAGATTATTTTCTTCTATATATCTATTGAGTCAAATACATTATTTGTATCGGACAGCTCTCTCTCTAATTCCTTTTAGATATAAATGTAAAAACAAATAATATATTTTACTAATTACGGAATAGAGGCAAATTTATTTGATTGTGAATCTACTTTTTATTATTATAAAAACACCTGTAACTTTTATTAAGTAATGGTACTTGAGGACAAGTTACAGGATGATTCGGACCTCAAAAGGTCTACAAGAAAAATGGTTGGCCTTTCT